AATGTAGCCTGAAGGTATAGATAAACTTTTGAGATATGAACACTAATATCTGCTAATGAAGATACGTGAGTAAATGGTAAAATAGCAAAAAGTCATTTCTCTCTGCTTCACTGTTTGAGCAGTCAGCTACAGCTAGAAATACATGGAGAAACAATAAAATGGGTTGTGTTTGCTGTAACTGCATAGCAAAACTCTGGAAGCTGTCCAAATGTGGATTGAAAGCAAAAATTAATTGAGCTGCCTGTCACTTTATATCCTCACACAAGTGGCATGGCGTTGACATCTTCCTGCTCATCTGGCATTTCAGAAATGAGCCAAAGCTGTAGAAAGTGTCTRAAGCCATGACATGGTGAATGCATACCAAAAAAGAACTAAGCCTCTGAGRTAAGCATGTATGCTGTTAGTGAATGTGGTCTGAATTCGAGTTTATGCCTGCCTGAAGACAATCATGTTCTGTCTGAATTTATCAATTCCAGTGAAGTTTAGCAAGGCATTTCATAGCAAGCAAGCAGAGTAAGAAATTATTACAAACTCACTGTTGTCCTCTGGAGAGACCTGCCTGAGACAGATATCAGTCTCGATCTAGGCAAGAACACACAAAAAAGTGTTCTTCCTGCACAAGCCTACAGTAATCAATAGTGGACATTCAGCATAGAGAATTTAAATTATGCTGTATATAAATGATTTGGCCTCCTGYAAGTTACAAGTACTTGCTATCAGATTCAGTTTTGTGAACTTTGCTATCAGATTCAGGAAAGTTTTGTGAAAACACATACTGCAAGCAGAAGATAATGACAGAGAAAGACCACAGACAAGCAATGACATCCTAAAGCAATGCCGTATTGTCTACACACTGCCACTTTTGAAAGGAAGATGAAGAACCCCTTTACCTCTCCCTTCTCTAACAAGGGACACAATCCTTTTTATGGTTCTCAGAAGGAGTCAGAAGGCCACAATTCATTTCATGTACCTTACTGTTATATACTCCTAAAAAGGCACATGGTAGAAGAGTGTATATGACTTTTACTTCCATACCAGGGAACCACAGAATGCCCATTTGCCCCATCTAAACTGCCCTTTTCCAGTGATTTGAACTAATAAAATACAGCTTATCACAGATTTGGGCCAGCGAATGAGTTTACATTTGAGACCTTTCTTGATTCAATGGCTTGAGAAATTTCCTGATTCAATGTAGCCCCRTTGTAACTCTTAATACATAACATGCCTATTCCTTCTGTGATGAAGGTACATGATGATTTCACAGTGACAGTGGGTAAAGGTCAATACCTAAAAACCTGTTCTTTATTAGACTATTTAGATAGAAGCCTGTACCCTTCAGAGCTACCAGTCTTCTTTTTTTAAATCAAGTTCGCAGCAGGATGATAAACATCCTGTGACTTTTATTTTTTTATCCAAAAAACAGCAGCTAAAAGGTCTACCTCACTGATATTTCTGTGAAGACCCAGATTTCATGAACATGACAGATGTGTATATGACTGCTCACAATCACATCCAGACTCTGACCCCTTTTCCTTTTTTTCCTTAGTTCCTGGCAGAGCCCTCCTAGTTAGCTAATAAAATACAAAAACATATGGTAGTTTTTTGCCTTTTTGCTTTTGTTTTGGGTGAAGAAATTATGCCACTAACCAACCTGGCACCTTCTCATATTTTCCTTAGTTACAACTTTGACTTGACAAACTTGACTTTGCCTCAAATTTGACTTGTATTGCTATTTCAATGACACAGGTTTTTGTAAATAACACAAATTCCTGGAAAATTTCTATTCCTTCATCCAATAACGAGATTATATGGAATAAGAACCAAAGAATGGACAACACTGCTGTTGTTCCTGTCTCTTGGTTGCTTTTGCTTGCCTCTCTTGACATAAGGACTTTTTTTGAGACATGGATCTGCTCTGGGATATGCACACTGAAAATCTGCTGTTCAAATCAACATTAGGATGCATCATACCAGTTTAGCAACCTGAATTGTTTCACTGTCACCATTTTTCTCTCAAAGATAAGCCATGTGAATAATAAGAAGCTATGATGAAAATCTCTTAATCCTCTCTTGAATAAGCACACTGGACATTTAACACACACATTCTAGGTTGGACTTTATTTGTTACTGTCCTCTGAAACCATCTCATTCCAAGTCCTCTTCTGAAAAAGGCACAGTAGAACTAAAGCTAGCGGTTCAGTAACAGCCTAATTAATACTRTGTTCCAGATAAACTCTCTCAGCCTTGTCCCTATAAACAAGATAACATACAATTTCAGTTACAGCTTTAGACTGCAAACTAAAGTTCAGGTGATTAGTTATCAAAACCTTAGAAAATTTCCTAACTTCTTACATGGGAATGCCTCTGTCCACATCCCTCCTGTTTGCCAAGAGCCACCGCAACATGATGACTGTCATCTAATCGGGTTTCCTAGGAAAGATGAAAAACAACAATGTCGATGTGTATTCTGTTTCCAGCAATGTGGAACAAAAATCCAAATGGATTTTAAATTAATCACATTCACAAAGTAACAGCAGAGAGATCAAGGATGCACATACATGAAGAACTTTTCAGTACYGAACTGGTTACTATTGGTCATCACGATCCCACCTAATTCCAGACATTTATGTGCAAGTTTATCAGCTTAGTTTTCCTTTACCCTGTTTTAGCTGCCTTTTTTCAGATTTCATAAATTGTGAACATCTGACGGAAGGTTTCCTGAAGAACAAGTGTAAACTTAAATAAATTACTCCCTCACTCTCACCTTCAGACAGCATGCAAGATCACCACTTCAAATTTCTGATGCAACAATCTGAGCACAGCTCTGTGCCAATACGGAACAGTCTTCTGCAAATATATACTTAATCACTAAGCCTAAGTGTTTCTCCTGCTCTGTCCCCTACCATCCACAAAACAGTGGCCAGAACCCATCTTTAAGAACTCRTCTTAATTAATTTCAGAAAAAAATGGTTTCATGTACTGCTTTTGAATAATGCTTATTCACTCCAAATTATAATTGTGAACTTTTTTTTTTTAACAAAAACAGAAATGTTTTCTTTCTTCATTACCAAAAATTCTCACATCACTTCCTTGTGATCTTTTGGAAGTAAAAATCAAGAATAGCAAGAACTAGAAAAATGAAGCAATCGAATGTCACCAATTCTGCAGACCAGTCTAGATAACAGACATATCRGCAAATAGAGTAGATTCTCTCCTGGGACAGAACCACCAATTTTTACTTGGAAAATACCCTGACCACACCACATTATTACAAAAGGAAGGCTTTTTTTCCTTTATTTTTTAACCTAAGTAACATGTCTTTTAAACCAATGCTGTCAATCTGCATTAAGCTTCTCTACAGTTCCTCTACCATATAGATGTTTATACAGATTTCTATTGCAAATATGCCATCCTTGTGAATCTCATATATGTGAAAYAGATGACAAGATGCTGACTCAGGCCCTTCAACCCTGACCAACAAGACAGCTGCTGCTCTGGGTCTACATATCAGGAGAGGTTATAAGTTTGAAAGACAACAGAGGCACATGTACTAATGGGCTGGCAGATAGGTGCTAGGGTGGGAGTGTAGGTATCTTTCTATTCGGATCTCTTCAGCACCTAGATTCTGCCTATTTCATATAAATATAATTTAGCAGTGATATTTATTGCCCTCATCTCCCTGAAATAACAAAAAAAAAGTATGGGAGTTTATTTTGTTTTATCTTTCTAGCAAAGGGCTAGAAAGAAAATGACTATTCTATCCATATTGGGAGAAATATTTCATAGCCATGAGAAAAACAAATCTGAAGTACAAGCTGTATTTCATATTGCAGTCTTTTAGTCATATGTACTTACTATGAAGTGTTTTGTGTGTTTGCGTTCTGTGCTGGAGAGTTGGGCAGARAGGAATCTCGTGAGGTTCAATAAGGACAAGTGCAGGGTCCTGCACCTGAGTGAGGAATAACCCCAGGCACCAGGGCAGATTAGGGGTTCACCTGCTGAAGAGCAGCTCCACAGAGAGGGGCCTGGGAGTCCTGGTTGACACCAAGTTAACTATGAGTCAGCAGTGTGCCCTCGTGGCCAAGAAGGCCAGTGGGATCCTGGCTGCATCAGGAGGAGTGTTGCCAGCAGGTCAAGGGAGGGGATCCTGCCCCTCTCCTCAGCTCTGGTGAGGCCGCCCCTGGAGTATTGGGTGCAGTTTCGGGCTCCCCAGGACAAGAGGGATGTGGAGCTTCTAGAGAGGGTCCAGCGGTGGGCAACAAAGATGATTAAGGGACTGGAGCATCTATCGTATGAGGAAAGACTAAGTGAGCTGGGCCTATTTAGCCTGAAGAACTGAAGATTGAGAGGSGAGATCTTATCAATGTGTACAAAAACCTGAGGGCAGATTGTTGGGAGGTGGGGACCAGACTCCTGTCAGCGGTGGCCAGTGACAGGACAAGGGGTAATGGGTACAAATTGAAACACAGGCAGTTCTATCTCCATGGGAGGAMGAGTGAGGGTGCCAGAGCCCTGGAAGAGGCTGCCCAGGGAGGCTGTGGAGTCTCCTTCTTTGGAGATCTTCCAAACTTGCCTGGCTGCCATCCTGTGCCCCAGGCTGTAGGTGTCCCTGCTGGAGCAGGGGAGTTGATCTAGGTGATCTCTAGATCTCTCTTAAAAGGGAATCACAGAATGACAGTATGGTTAAGAAGCTTTCTACTCCCTTACTATGGCAAACTGAAAAGACGTTAAGCAGAAGGACTTTGACTTCAAACTGGGTTCAAGTYAATCATTTGTACACATCATATACATTTCTGTAACTTTCTAGAACTTCCTAGGAAAAAAAAAAAAAGGAAAAAAAAAAGATTCCCTATGAAAATCAATTCATTTTGCCCCCTTCTTTCGTATTCTGTATATCCTAGGGCTGAAAGACTGATGATATTAAGCACACAGATGAGCACATTCAACACTGGCCTACATTTTGTAGTTAGAAATCTGAAAACAATTGTTTGTGTTACAGTTTTAAACTTATGCTTGTGAAATGAACATATGCCTTACATCTTGTCTGTACAACTGACTGATAAACACAATATAGATAACTGAAAATACTTTGTATATTACTAATAAAATCATTTTATCAGCTCAAATTTGTATTTAATAAGTGACTCTTTGGAAAACCAGAACTGTTTCCCTGCAAACAGAGATGCCATCTAACAGATACCTAATTTAGAAAGCTTCACTTCATTTGCTTAACATATCCCTCGTGTTAGTGGTCATAAAACAACTCTCAGAATCTTATGATAAACAAATTGTGCCCTTCATGTTACCCTCAACTACTTCAAAGAAAGTTAAGAGCCCCCTCCCAAAATACAGACTGGATCCTTCCTGAGATCCTTCCTCTTGTCCAGCAATACCTAAGGATATAGTGTTTAATAAATCATAAAACCCAGAACTCAGTTCGCTTCCCGTATTTCATCTGGAGATACTGGTACAACAGCTAATAAATTAAATTCAATTTATTACATAGAAATATATGATAGAGCAAAAAGAGAAGGACAATTTCAGTTTTTTAAATTATACTTCCCTGTAAAACAGTACATAACAGATCTTTTTTTTCTGAGCATAACCACAATGTCACTTGAACTGCTCCAGCTGTTGGCATGTTGAGAGCTGTAGCAACCTCCTTTCAAAGGCATAGCAAAATGACATGTATTAGATTCAAATCATTTTGACTCACTCATTCCATTACTTCGTTAAATACCAAGAACAATTACAAAATATGGTTGAAATTAACCCAGGCAATCCCATTTTGAAATAACGTATTCTGAAATTAATGTGCTTGGGTAGAGACAACCCAAGCAAATACTCCAAAAAAGCAAAGCCAACAACAATTTGCATGGCAGCCGTGATGCAACTGAGTAAAGTTTAGAATAAATGAGACTGTTTACCTAATTACTTGGCTGGATCAAAACTGATGTAGGCATTGAAGCAAAGGTGTTTCTACGTTTAAAAGGAGATCTAACAAGTGCTGTTCAAATACACTTTCTGATCAACTAAACAAAGTTGGGAATAATAAGAAAAAGCCAGCAATACTCAAAACATTTTGTGTAATCAGGGTTTGCTCCATATATCAGATCTCCTACAAGCATATGTTATGTACATAACTATATACAAAACTTGACATAATTGTTATCAGCAAACCTCATTTTTATACAAATTAACACCACTTTATTCTGTATATTCTTATCTTCAAAGCRGTAAATGAAACATTCTCTTTAAAATTGAAAAAAGAAAAAACTCCAAACTCTGAGAAAACTGGATTTTAATGAGCTTATCTCTCTTTGATCAGCTCTTATCACAAAGATACAAGCAAATCTGAAAAATAAGACTGCCAAAGCAATATATTTTTCATTTGAAAGAAAAAGTTCACTCAAGTGAACTCAGTAAAACATGTATTATTTTTCTTGTGTTTCAAAAGTAATGCGCAGGTGATTCTCAATGATTTTTCCCTGGAAACTCTCCTAGATTTCTCAAAATTACTGTTTTCGGTTAACAAGTCATTTCAAGAGTTTGTCCATGTGCAAATATATCAGAATGTTTCCTCTAAGCAAAGAAAAATGACTTCTGTATGTAAGAAAATGGAGCACAAAGTTAAACTTAGGAGAAAGGGAGTGTATTTTATTTATATGCGCACACACACACGAGTTGAAAGCATGAAAAAATAAAGCAACAGTTAATCTTAGGCCAGAGATTGAAAAAATAAATAATTTTTTAATTATCAATTTCATTTTAATTAATGCCAATAAAATTAATCTATACCCAACTGAGCTAGCATGTAGATGGAGCTTGATAATAAATACCTTCTCTGAAATATTGTAACCTGTTTGGAAAGSTGTGCTGTTCAGAAGTAAAAGGTGAGTCCCACAGAGGACACTTTCCTTAGAAAAAATATTAAATTAAGCTTCAAGGAGCAACTGCTGAGTAATACGGAAAAATAAATTAATTATAAAGCTTTAATAATACAGGGAACTATTTGCATCATCATCTTCAGGCTACTTYAGTCAACCTACCACAGACATGATTTTGAAGACTGAAATGAGGCATTTCAGCAGTCAATTAAGAGGCCCAGTTGCCCCCTTGACAATGATATAATATTAAAATACATTATATTGCAAGACATGTCACAATCTTTTTTYTTAAGATTTTCTTCAGTAGCCCATAAATTTAACTAGTGAATTTCATGACACGTTCAGTTTCTAGAGAGTATGGCAATACGAGCAAGAAGGCTGATGTAGTGTGGCTTGGTTTTTAAAATAAGCAGCAATCCAAATGTGATTAGAGATAGGAAGAAGCTATGAAAAGGTCAACTTAGGCCATAAATCAAATGTTACTGGTGTACTCAATCTTGTTTATTCCACACAAACTATACATATACTTTATCTACTATAAAAAACAGGCATATACCAGAAAGGTGCCATTAAAACAAGGCCTACCAGAACTGCTGTCTACATTATCGCACATGTCTGCAAAATAAAAACATTCCAACTGTGAGCTACACTGACAATTAACTATTACTTAACCTGAACTATTACTTACTTAACCTTAACTATTTTGTSCAAGAGAACTGCAAGGTTGGTATACTTTGAACTGCAAGTCAGCTATATACCTGCTGCACAAAAATGAAGGCAGAGATAGGCACAGACTGCAACACGTAATTTCACAACGATTTAAAAATCGTTTAAAAGGTGGKTTTTTTTCCCCTTCCTTTTAAGTGGTTAACTGAATGTCTCTGGGGTTTAAAGAACTGCCTGCATTTCTTTCATCTTGGTCTCTTAGGATAATTAAATTATATGTAATCATAATATCTATGAATTCTTTTTTCTACATTATCATTTTGTGACCGCAGGATAAACATGGGCGGGTGTGCGCGTATGGGGTGTGTGTGTGTGTGTGTGTGTGTGTGTACACAACCAGAGAGAAGACTGAGTAGAAATTAAGAGTCCCAGTTATGCACAAGTGAGATTTTTTTATCCATCTATGCTCACAGAGAGCAGCCAAAATACAGCATAACATAAACATACCAAACATATTCAGTTCCTTGTACCTACCAGCAAGAAGAAGCAACAACAGGAAGTGGAGACGCTTCATTTCAAACCTTGAAYATAAAGCCTAACTGATGGATAACTTGAAAATTTCAAACACCATTCAGAAGTCAGCCATGAAACTAATTGCTTCAGTTAATTTCCTGTGCTCCCTAGAATGAAATTAACTGAATTTGAAAAAGAAAATGCATTGCAATTATTATTTTTGTGATCAAGTACGATGAATATTTTTAAAAGCTACAAATTTATGTTTTGACACCTGCCTTTTCTATAGATTATACAGAATAACGGTGAAAGCTGCAGTTAAAAACAAAATATCCAATGCAACAATAAAGTTCAGATTGAGACTAGTCACTGCTGTTAAAAAGTTTAAAGATCTCTTACCTCAAAAGTCCATTCTTCTTCTTTATCTCCATCCAGCAGCATTTTGGTCTCCTGATATACTTTTCCTATTTCCAGCTGCAATGGAGATACATTAAATTCAATTCTTTGCAAGTTGAAGCCAATTCCAACTCCAATAGCTTTTAAGAAGCTCTCCTTTAGGGCCTGTAAGAGAGCAAAAACAGGTATATTGACTGTTTCTAATAAAACTGATCTATTAACTTTACTACTGAACAGAGACTGCAGGACAAATGAATTTAAGACATACACCTCTGTAAATGCGAGGGCAAACTGAAGTAATTATCAAGAGGAAAAAGTACCAGCATTGCCAATACCTGACTCACTGCATTAAAACGAACTGGGATTACCAAATGGTTCATACAGTCAGGAACCTTCTTGCTTTGTTCTGACATGCATTTAAAGCTAGTTGCAAATCCTCTATAAATTTMAGCTGTAGAACAGTCRATTTAAATATATTCTGACACTTTAAAGATAATCTCCACTTGATCAGATAACTACAGAAGTATACAATTACACCATCATGAAAATAACAATATATTAAACCACCTTTAGCAAGTTATAGTTCTGTAGTCTTATAATAATAACAAAAAGTATTACCCAGTGTCGATGAAACATATCCAGCTGCAGCCATTCATTATTCATAGACTTGATTACACCCCATTCTGTCTCAGTAAACTGGCGATTCATAATGCGAAAAAAATTTGGTATTGAACCACTACCTGCAAATTAAAAGACATTTTCATAAATTTTAATGGCATAATAAYAATAATACACAAATAAATTATCTCATGATATTTCTCCAAGAAATAGCTCAGTCTTAAGAAAAAATATTATAAATCAACTCTCTTGTAAAATATAAACAGACTATATGGCTTGAAAGCCATGAGCAGATACTAGTGACAGTTGAGGACAAAGCAAGTCTTAAAAAAACAAAACTAAAGCAAAAACATTTCTACTGCAGAAGTACAACATAAAAAACTTAAAAATGAAAGTCAAAGATATTTCATGCTTTTCGCATTCTCTAAAAACACAGCATTTAACCGGTGTTTACTTTATGATCACAGCCAACTATATAAAGAAACTTGATTCAGTCTTCTGCACTTGACTGCTTGATCTAATAACATTTTATAAAACAGCATGCTGTCTGTTAGAATTCATGGAGCTGTTCTGCATCCTGCCTCTGTGTGCTGGGCATATGAAAAAAAAACTTTTTTTAAGAGCATGTAGCTATATAATCTCCCAAATTTTTTATACGCACAGTAAGTCATTTGGACTTAAGAAATGGGGAAGGGATATGCCCATCATCACTGAAGTAAAAATATTCAGAAAAACAAACAAACAAAAACTCTCGGATACTTTGGTTAAATTTAAACCTTCTCTAAGAATAAGCCCAGTGCTATGTTTCTTCAGCAACCCTTTAGGGGTTATACCACTTTTCACCTTTCCATTTTTTCACTTTTCAGAAGACACGAGAAATTTTTGGTTAAATTGATCAATTGGAAGCTGACTAACCTCACACTTGACTAACCAACCATGGCCTATACCACTGATCAGCACAACCATGCAAGCTGCCCAAAATCTGAAGGGAAATAATTCCACATGACAAGAGAAATATTTTGATAGGCTGCACAGTGCTCTTATTAAAACAGCAGCAGCCACATTTGATCCATAACAGCTTCTCTCCCTTCCAATACCACAGAGTTTCCAGAACTCATCACTACATCACTCCTTCACTCAGAAAGTGACTCTATTTCTAGCTCTGCCACTGGTTCTGAGAGACCAAGGCAAACCACTTCCTTTCTCTGTACCTGTGTACCCCACCTTAGACAAGGGAAAAGGTTACTAACTCTTCTTTATAAAGTGGTTTCCTTCTAYAGGTATCGATGCACTATTAAAACAAATGCATTGGCAGCAGTAACAAGTGATATGAATGAATTAAGATCACTCTAAAGTACACATATGCACTTTCAGACAATTTCGTTTCCTTTCCAGATCACATTACAAAACATAATCTGACAAACTGCACACATACATGGCAGTGACATTTGGGTGATGCCCTCAATCTCAGTTATAGATTATAGTGAAAAGAACATCTTGAGAGAAACATTTTGCTGACAGTTGTGGCACTCAGCTAATGGCGTCATCCACAACAGTGCGGATAGAACCGATCTTCTGTTCAGGAGAAAATGATGACAACAGAAAAGAAAAGCAACTGTAACATCAAGAGCGTTTTGATGGATAACCTAGTGGGTGAAATATCCATCTATTTAGACACTCAACTTCCTTCCAAACAAAGGAAAAAAGCATCCCACAATGTTCAGTTTGGATGGAAGTTTATTGCTGAATTCAAACAGCCCRTTTTATTATTAAATAACTGCACTAACAGCTCAAACTCTCATAAAATTCAACTGAAAGCTGTATTTTTATTTTCTCCTCCCAGCTATTTAAAAAGAGATGGTAGGCAATGGTGTTCCTAGGCAGTTCAAACTACAGGCCTAGAAACCTAACCTTGAAACATTCAAGAATTTCCTATCAGAGCCCTATTGCTCCTAGACTTCTCGTGTTATTTTCTTCCAATAATACAGGATATTCACACCAGAGAAGACTTTCAGCACCTTAAAGTGTCTCACTGCATATTTACTGCTCTATATAGTACACTAAGTATATACCAAAACCATGCACCACTGTCTTTTCACTCCTTATCCTTTTTTTTTGTCTTCAGATTTCTTCGCCTGTCCAGCTACCCTTCTCTACGTGCTCTTTCACGCCCATTTTCAAGTTTCCACCTTGCTTCCCTCTCCCCTGCACCTCTCACCACTTCTTGACTTCGTGGAGCTGCTGGAAAGCAGCTCCACAGGGAGGGACCTGGGAGTCCTGGTTGACGCCAAGTTAACCATGAGTCAGCAGTGTGCCCTCATGGCCAAGAAGGCCAATGGGATCCTGGCTGCATTACGAGGAGTGTTGCCAGCAGGTCAAAGAAGGGGATCCTGCCCCTCTGCTCAGCTSTGGTSAGGCCRCACCTGGAGTATTGGGTGCAGTTCTGGGCTCCCCAGTATAAGAGGGTTGTGGAGCTTCCAGAGAGGGTCCAACAGAGGGCAAGATGATTAAAGGACTGGAATCTCTCTCATATGAGGAGAGACTGAGTGAGTTGGACCTGTTTAGCTTGGACAAGAGAAGGCTGAGAGGGGATCTGATWAACATGCATAAGTTCATGAAGGGAGAATATAGGGATGAAGGGGCTAAATTCTTCTCAGTGGTGGCCAGTGACAGGACAAGAGGAAATGGGTAGAAGCTGAAACACAGTAAGTTCCATGTCCATGTGAGGAGGAACTTCTTCACTGTGAGGGTGCCAGAGCCCTGGAAGAGGCTGCCCAGGGAGGTTGTGGAGTCTCCTTCTCTGGAGGTCTTCAAGACCCATCTGGCTGCCACCCTGTGCCACATGCTCTAGGTGTCCCTGCTTGAGCAGGAAGGTTGGACTAGATAATCTCTAGAGGTCCTTTTCAAACTTAAACATTCTGTGCTTCTGTGTTACTCCATGAACCTCAGGAAGTCCTTTCCCTGGAACTGCCCCATTCTCTCCACAAGTCTCCATCTCAACCCTACTCAGTTGCTTTCTCTCAGGAGCAAACAGCCCTGACAAGGGGAGCCTTGAATACTCCTCGCGAGGGAGATGGCAGCACTTCTCTGGGTACTCTATTGCCATGCTCAGAGGTTTTGCACACTAAACAAATCGCTCTCTTATCCAAACAGAATTTCCCCCAAAGCAGCTTGCTCCATTTGCCGCTTGCTCCACGCTCCCTTGCAAAGACCCATCTCCTTCACCCATCCCCCACAGCTCCCTCYTCCTCCTCCTCCTGCCTAGGGAAACACTCGGATTAGACTGTCCCCTCTCAGACCTTCCCCTCTCCAGGTTCAAAAAAACCAACCCAATTCTATCAGCTTAACTTCATACAGCAAGTTCTCCAACCCTCTAAACCTTTCACTAAAGTTTCTTCAACTTTTAAATGTCTCACATAAAGAGTGAGTGAGAGATGAAGAGGGAGTGAGAGATGCCAAAACTAGAAACAATAGATGGTTTTCTTTTAGATACCACCTTTTTTTTTGGCTTCTATTCTGAGATAAAAAGCTCCAAACCCACTCACCTCCATGATTTACAGAAGTTCCTTCTCAAAGGAGGAGAACAATTCCCATATAGCAATTATTCAGTTAGCTTTAAATTTGAATTTCTAAATTAACTCCCACTTCCCAACCTGCTTCAGAAATAAACTTACTTTTTAATAATGACACAGATATTTGGACTTTGTCAACTGCTACTTTGAAGTACTGATAAATATTACTGCAACAAGGTAAACATACTGCTAGAAAGAAGCTGAACAGGTCTCTAACCTGCAATGCATCAGTTTCTTTATAAAGCAATCTAAGTATTAAAATTAATAGTTTCATTATTTTCAAACCAATTATTAATTTTAACAAARTACATGCAGCAAAAAATATTTTTGTTTTACAGATACTGGGCTCCCCAGTACAAGAGGGATGTGGAGCTGCTGGAGAGAGTCCAGCGCAGGGCTACGAGGATGATCAGGGGCCTGGAACATCTGCCCTATGAGCAAAGGCTGAGAGAGCTGGGCCTGTTCAGCCTGGAGAAGAGAAGGCTGAGGGGGGACCTGATCAGTGTCTATAAATACCTCAAGGGAGGCAGKGAGGAGGACGGTGCTGGTCTCCTTTCAGTGGTGGCCAGCGACAGGACTAGAGGAAACGGCCACAAGCTGAGGCACCAAAAGTTCCACAGGAACTTGAGAAAACACTTCTTGACAGTGAGGGTGACAGAGCCCTGGAACAGGCTGCCCAGAGCGGCTGTGGAGTCTCCTTCTCTGGGGATCTTTAAAACCCGCTTGGACGCAGCCCTGTGCCATGTGATGTAGGTGACCCTGCGTGAACAGGGGGGTTGGACTAGATGACCTCTGAGGTCCCTTCCAACCTTAAGCATTCTGTGATTCTATGATTCTATGATATAATGAAATTTTCTTCTAGATAGGAAGGAAATCAAAGACTTTAAAATAGTGTTCAGAAAAAAAGGAGGAAAGTCAAGTTTAATTTTATCTATGCTGTAAGAAAACCATATACTGTAGAAGGTAGGAAAAACATTCAATTCTGAATTATCTTGTTAAATATTATTTTTCCTTAAATTGGGCACAAAAATCTTAACTTTAACAAGAGAGATAAATCTTACTTTTGAGAACACTGCAATTCATTACTACATTAAACTAAATCCTAGTTTACAAAATTGAATTGGACCATTAAAGAGTGTCAGTTATTCCTGTATGCATATTTTAGAGCTAATGATTACTTTTGCTATTTAATTATATACAGAATATATATATATATAGCCTCTAGAGAGGATTATTAGAAGAATAGGGAAAGACAAAGTACTGGTTACTCACCATGGAGCGAGGCCCTTCACTGAACAACTAACTTCCTATCCTAGTTAGTAAGCAGCAACCATCTATTCTCCCTTCTCTCTTTTTTTTCCCTCCTCTTCTTTTTTCTGCTTGCTACATTATTAATCTCTCATTTTAAACATCCTTTCTCTGCATTTTCACTATTCTATGTTTTAAAAAATAACTTTCCATTTTAATCCAAGTGTTTGTATTGTCCTTCAAAAAAAATCATTATGAAGTGGGATTCCAATAGACTTTTTAGAAAAAAAAATTTCCTCTTA